CAAATTAAAGATTTTTGAAATCTTAAATCTTAAAATTCTAAATTTTTTTAAAAACTTTTGACTCTGACAAACTCTAAAAACTTAATTGTAACATAACATAATTAACTCAAATATGTATGATAGTTTGAGTAAATGATATAATATTAGTGGTATTTTTAAAATGATTTTAAAAATATGGTATTTTTAAAAATTGATATTTAAAAAAAAAATGTAATTCCTTTTTATTTATTGTGAAATCATATTTACTAAACATACATTGTTATGCCAGCTAACTGTGACATGCATTGGCTCTTTTAAAAAAGCTATAATTCTAATTAAATGTATATTTATCATATCCTTCCAATTTTGTCTTCATATATCTAACTGTTAAGTTAACATATCCACTTTTTCTTTATTTGTCAAAATACATTTTCTTTACCGAAAATATGTTTGTTGTAAGCAATTTAAGTATCAATCCTACATGGAATGTAAGTTAAATTAGTTTAATTTTATAACCATTTATTTTTAAAAGGGAAATATGCTTTGAGATTTGAATATAAAGAAAAATATATAAGCACAAGAATCCTATCTAAAACACAGAACTACAGAAGTTATCTACAATATTGTTTTTGTTTTACATGTAAAAGATAATTTGTATTTTATTTACATTGAAAAAAATTAAAATATCATTTAAGAAGTCTTCATTTGACTAGAAATTTTAGAATAAGTAAATTACTTTTATGAAATTGTTGAATAAACACCACTTTCAAATATACGTGCGTAACTCAATTTCAAATATTCGCACGTAATGCACTTTCATATATACGCGCGTAACTCACGTATTATGAAAAATTTAGTCATAAAAAAAATAATCTAACTGTTTGGAGAATACCTAATGCTACCTATATTTTGAATGTCTGAGCCAATCTCTTCAATTAACATTATTAAGCATATGTTAATAAAAATTATCATTATATCAGTGAAAATTTTACATATAAATAGTACCAAACTACAAATAAAAAGTAAATCAAACATATTATTTAGGTAGACAAAATATATTCCTTAATTCATTATTTTCCACACAACTCTTTTTAAAAAAAAACATTAGAATGAGAAATTAAGTAAAAATTAGAAGGTCAAATATATCATTTTTGGTAATAAAGTATAAAATTTTTCTTATTTTAATCCTTATTTCCAATATAAATAAGAGGGTGGAGAACATAGAATTCATTTCATATATCAGAAAGTCCTTTTGTTTCTCTGAGTGATGGAAAAAAAAATCCAAAAATCACTGAGAAATATATGTTTTGAGTTATAAATCTCCTTTTTGTTTCAATGGATGCAAAGAGGAAGTTTTCACAAGAGAAAGGTATGGATCTTTGTTTATATGCTTC